GCAGCAGCGCGCCAAGGCAGCGCATCAATGCACATGGACGGGTACTGCTATTTTCAATTTACAGGGCCTGCTTCAGTAGCGCAATCTGCTCCGCGGTCAGCTTTTTCGGGAAAGTGACGCGGACGGAAATGTACATGTCGCCGAAGCCGTGGCGCTCGAGGTCCGGCATCCCCTTCTGCTCCAGCTTGATGACGTAGTTGTGCGGAGTGACGCCGCCCTGCACCACCTCGACGCTCTCGCCGAAGAGGTCGACCTGCTTCTCGAAGCCCAGCAGCGACTCGCGGAGCGTGATGGTCAGCGTGCGGTGCAGGTCCCTGCCTTCCCTGCGGTAGATCTGGTGCGGCTGCTGCTCCACCACGAAGACGATGTGGCCGCGCCGGAGGCCGGGCTTCTCCTGGCCGCGGCCCTCGATGACGATGCGGTGCCCGTGCGGGGTGCCGGGCTCGATGATGATGTCCAGGTCGAGGTGCTCTACGAAGGTGGGCCCGTTGGGGCACGCCTGCCCGTCATTACGAACCAAACGGCACACTTACCGCGCAGTTCTCCTTCCAGCCCTTGTTGCGTCCGACGCACGTGGGGTCCCGTATCTGCTGCTGCAGCAGCATGCCCGGGCCGTGCTGCCGCGTGATGACCCGGAGCTCCGGCCCTTGGCAGTCCGGCCGCTTCACCTCGCACTCCTCGTAGTTGGGGCAGAGCCGCGTGACCTGCAGCTTGACGTTGACGTCGCGCCCGTGGTACAGCGCGTCGAGCGGCACGTCAATCGGGTAGATCAGGGGCTCCGCCCGCACCGGCTCCTCCCGGGCCCGCCCGCCGCCGAACCCGAAGAAGTTGGAAAAGATGTCGTTGACGTCGAAGCCGTCGTCGCCGCCGCCCTGGTTGAGGCGCATCAGCCCCGCGAAGCCGCCCTCGTCGTAGGCCTTCCTCTTCTCCGCATTGTACAGTATCTCGTACGCCTCGTTGATTTCCTTGAACCGCCCAGCCGCGTCCGGGTCCTTGCTGACGTCGGGGTGGTACTTCTTGCTCAGCTGCAGGAAGGTCCGCCTGATGTCCTTCGCCGTGGCCGTCTTGGGGACCCCGAGCACCTCGTACAGGCACTTCTTTCCCGCGAAGGGGTCGCTCTCGGGCTCCTCGCCGAAGAACCCCCAGGCGTTTGCGCGCGAGACGCCGAATGCAACCGCCGCCAGCACGAAAAGGCGAGCCCGCATCGTTGCGTCGGGTGCTCTCTGGGTTCAGAGGTCCGCGGTTGTGTGATTTCTCGTTGATGCGATGTCGAAACGACTTGCCCGTCGCACGGTTGCAGCTCCGGCACGGGGCAGGCGTTCCGCGTGAGGGGTGTGTCAGACGGCTTCGTTCCGCAGGGCCCGCCTTTTGCGAGAATACAGCAAAACCAAGCAGCCGTATATAGTAATATAACGGCGGTACAGCTCTCTTAGATTGGTTTATCCCTTGCGTCAACGAAACCCCTCCGTGGGTGTCCACGCGCAGCGTTTTTCGGCTCGTCGCGGTTCTTCCGCGGCGTAGCTCCGGAGCTGCGTGCTCGGCGCTCGGTGCGCAAGCTCCCTCCACTGCCGGCGCTCAAAAATCGCTGCACACGTTCCCGCCCGACAGGACGGCGGTAAATATCCTCTGATCGCTCCGTAGCGGTGGTGTGTATCCATACGCAACGCACCGCGCCGGAAACTCGTCGAGGTAACGCGGTGTCTTTTGCGCTCTGAAGGGGCCAGGCGAACGCGGGACGGCCCTGTGCTGCTTCTCACACACACCAGCGTCTGGTATCGCGGGAATTGCTATCTCGACTGCTGCTTTGACGTGGCTTCCGGCGCGCCGATGACGCCGGTGTGACTCAGGCGGTGTGGTTTGCGCGTACTTTCAAAATTTACCCGTCTCCATCGCTAACGCTGTGATATGTGACCTCTTGTTCGACGTTGTGGTCGCCGAATTGTGGCCGCGCTCCCCACGGAGCTCTGTAGGCGCCTCTGCCAGAATGGAGGCATTGGGACCGTTCGGCGTCGTTCTGCGACAGAACAACAGCTACGTATTCTCTGTCATTCATGTCTGCGTAGCCGGGTAATGGTAGTGGACGTTACTCTGTTGGATGTCGACTCGTGCTGTCGACATCTGCGATTGTCACGGTGTGTAGGTCAGTCGTCTCTGTCGTCGCGACGACTGTTGCAACCCTTTGTTCCCCAAGGCGCATATTTTTTTCATTTGATTGTTTTGTTCGGTGTTTCGCCTGCCAAAGTTGCGGTGTAGACGCCACCGGGATTCCACCCTTGTCACGGCTGCAGCCCTCTCCACGTCGGCGCGGCCGTCACGCAGTAGCATGCGTCGTAGCTTGCGCGGCAGGCCGCCGGATTTCACTTCGCGACCATGGTCTGGGAGGGCGTGGAGCTGAAGCTCCCTGAGGAGGTGGCGTCGAGCGTGTCGCTTGACACGCGCAAGCGCTCGACAGACTTCCCCAACGTGCGCATCACCAACTTCGCGAGCGGCGAGCGCATGCTGCCCGGGGAGGACAATGGGCTGATGTCGGAAGAGGAGCTGCACGAGGGCATGATGGATCACGTCAACTGGCTGATGGAGCAATTCAGCTCGAGCGTGATCCACCTGGACATCACGTACGCGGCGCCTCGCTACAGGCTGACCAAGCCGCTCTGTTACATGCTGGGGCTCAACTCCGAATTTTTGTTCTCAGGTCGCACCCAGGATATTGACGTCTCCGCCGGCGTGGACCCGCCCGACCCTTTCCTCGCTTCGGTCACATCCTCCCTCTTCACCCAGGAGGCGTCCTTCACCGACGCCAACAAGGCTTGCGGCAGCGCGGACCTTTCCGCGAGCACGCCGGACATTTCGCGACTGGTGCAGGAGGTCGACCAGTTTGGCGGCCTCGAGCTGTCCGACGATGGGGACGACAGCGACAGCTCGGGCATGGACTCCGACCCCGAGGAGGGCGTTGGCGAGAAACGGTCTGCATCGCAACGGTCGCGTGGCAAAAGGCCCTCTGGTTCGTCGCCATCGGGGGACCGTGCCGTTGCCGCCCACCTTGACCTTGTGGAGCGCGTTCGGTACGTGCATGTAACTCATTGCTGACGCTGTGCAGGCAGAAGTGTCCTAATTTGCAATCGTTTTCGAACTTCGAGGAGACGATTGTGCACGACTACTACTCGTCTAGGGGCAGCCAGGTGTTGGACATTTCTGCCATCGAGTCGCAGCTGCTTGGCGAGGGCCCCGATGGCGCCAAGCCCAACGACTCCCCCGCTTCCGCCGCCCTCGACGAGCTTGTGCTGACCCACATAGAGAAGGGCGATATGCACGGTTTCACTCAGTTGGTGTCGACTCTACGTCCGAGGAAAACCATGGTTGGTAACGTAATTCGTGTTGTTCACAATCTGTTATTTTCTGTTGCACACTTTATTTTGAATGTATAATTGCCTGCTACACGGTATACACACCCCTTCGCATTGTAGCCTCATTGACTACTTTCGCAGTTATCGCCTGCACTCGTTCACGACATGCTCATTTGGAAGAGCTGGCTGATAAACGGCCAACACCTCTGTTTCTACGGCGCGGGGTCGAAGCGGCACCTGATGCGCTCCTTCTGGGCGGTGGCTCTGCGGTACGTTTAGGCGGGTCACTTGTTTCACGTCGCTCAGCGATGGGCCCTGCGTGACCGTCGACGCGTACCGGCTGAAGGGGTCCATCTGCGACGGGCTCTGGTACATTTTGAAGCGCGACATGTTGTTTCGCAGGGACAATATGTCCGCTGCCGAATGCAAGAAGGTATCGCAATGTTTTGCTTTGTAATGGCGTGCAGGCATCGCTGAAGTACATATCAGCTCTGCGGAAACCCTTCTACCTGATTGTCCTCGGCCTGGACACGATGGCTGCCACCGGGTCCTTGGCTTCTCTGCGCCCGCTTCTGAAAATCCCTCATGTTGGTTCCCTGCTGCGTCTTCTCATTGTCCTCTCAGCTGCGGCTGATTGGCACCATGGACCACCTGCGCTCGAGTCTGGTCGTTTCCGTGCTCGACTCTGCCCTGGGCACCTGCAAGCTGGTGCGAGTGAATACCGGCATGGACTACCGGTGCGTTTGTACACCTCTGTAGTGACCGATTCGTGCAGCAACGAGTTGGTCTCGATATGGGACCGGGCCCCGCCTCGTTACCTTTCGCGCGACGACAACCAGAAGAGCGCCGCCGAGATGCAGGCCATCATCGGCGCGCTGAGCGTGAACCACCGGCAGCTCTTTTCTCTGATCGCCCAGATGCAGCTGGACGCGACCAGCGGGGGCGGGCGCTTCGACGGCATTGAGAAGTACACGCTGCTGCGCGAGCGTCGCGCCATCACGATTTGCAACAGCGAAAGCAAGCTGGACGCGCTGTTGACCGAGTTCATCACTCACAACGTACGCCGCTGTCGACCTGTAGCCGTCATGTTGTTCAGGTGATTGAGCAATCGCGTGGTCCCGGGGGCAAGCTGTACCTGAAGATCCCTTTCCCTCCGTAGGTTTTCGGCACCCATCCGTTACATGGTTTGCAGCGGTGAACTGCAGCAGTTTACCAACCTTTGAGCTGCCGCGCCTCTTCAGCGGCACCATACCGAAGTTGACACCCCTGTTGATGCCGGCGGTCGGGCTGCTTTCTCGCCCGCCGGACTGTCACCTGAGCTCCGTGAGCACCAGAGTTCCGCTTCTTGTCTGTGTGGTGTTTCCGGTGCGAAAACGGCGCTGGAACGGCAACCTCGCTGAAGCTGTTGGGCGGCCGCGTCGGAGGCTGTCCTAAAAACAGGACCCCCAATGCTGCCCCCGCCATGTTATCGGAGCACTGTTGATGAATGTCTTGTCCGTGATACTCACGTCTCAGTGTGGTGTGGCTGTATCCAGCACGTGGTGAACATGGATGCCTACTTGTATATACCATATACTCGTTCGTAATTCCCGCTGGTCATGGGTCAATTTTTGGACGAGGGACATATTCAACGATACTTTCGGTGCCCCGTCAACGCCGGTGGTAGCTCAGTTGGTAGAGCGGCAGACTGTAGATAAGCGGCTATCTGTTGGTCGGTGGTTCGATTCCGCCTCACCGGACTTTTTTGCACGCCTTATTTAACTCCACTGCCAAAAAAACCAATGAAACAAAAACTTCACCGCTATTACGCTTTATGTACACTAAGTTTAACCCCGCGGGTCGAGCTCCCTCATGCTACCTCGTCTATGGCGCGCTTGTGCCGCGGGTTGACGAAGGACGGCAACTGCGAGTTCTTGAGGTACCGGATGTTGACCGCAATCTGGTCTTTGTAGGTTTCCATCTCAGTCCAGCCGTTGATGATCTCCTTGAACCCCTTGATCGGCATCCGCATGTCGAACGTCCGGGCCGCAGGCTCCCCAGACGCCGAAGCAGCACCCTTCTCAGGAGGCTTGCACCTGAACCCAAAGAAAACACAAGAAGCGTACTCCCATTCCACGTGCTAAATTTGATGTTACCAGCACAAAATCACACACCTTGTATTTGAAGAACTCGGGCCACGGCCTCACCAGGATGTTGGGCACAACCTCTATCTTCTTGATCAGAAACCGCATCCGGCTGCCAATCCAACCCTCCCACTTGCCATGCACCTACGTGACGTGAACCCACCGCGCAGCTCGACGTGACTCACGTGTTCGGTGGAAGCCAACACCTCAATGACCAAAAAGTGGTTGTGAGAGGCGAACATGTCCTCCTTCTCCAGCACCTGCTCCCACACGCGGCGCAGGTCCGCTGCTTTCCGGCTCACCTTCAGCAGCTCGTGCGCCCGCTTGAACTCCTCAGTGAGGATGCGCTTCGTGGTCACGGTGATGTTGTGAGTGGAGTTCATCGAAGGAAAAGCGGGCGTGATGACCGGCATCAGGTGCTGCCTGTCCTGCAAAGATTGCGTCGACATGGGCGCAGCAGCCAAAACCAACCGTCGGGTTGCTCCGGGGGTCCCAGACCTTGAAGGCCATGTACCCAGGGAGGTTCGGCACCGCCTTTATCTTGCAGAGCATCACGGGGTACCGCCAGTTCCACTGCGCGTACACCCGGAAGAACTTCTGCACCAGCTGGTTGGGCAGGAAGTTGGGGTACAGCTGGCAGATGCGCGCCGTGAGAATCGCCCAGGCGACGCCCCCCATGTAGCCCATGACCGTGGTGTACAGCCCGCGCCGGTTGGCCCACAGCTTGACGTAGCGCAACGCGGTCCGGAAGTTGTCCTTGTTCGGGACGAGCGAGAGAATCAGCGCGGCGACGCGGCACCCGTTGATGCTGCGCGCGGTGGCCTCGTTCATGTTCCGGAGGATGGAGTCGTCCAAGACGTCAATCGCCTCCGGCACGGAGGGCGCCGGGAGGTTGGCGAACAGCAGGTCGATGTCCACGCCATCGTATATGAGCTTGATGACAGGCGTGTAGGCGTCGGGCACGGCGTGGAGCTTGGTGATGGGCTCGAGCTGCTTCAGCGCGTTGTAAAAGTCGCCGAAGAACGCCTCCCGAGTGACCGACTGCGGGCAGAGGCAGAGGCAGTCGATGTCGCTGTCCGGCGCGACGATGCCCAGCCTGTACGAGCCGAACGTGAGCAGCTTTGCCGATATCTTGGACGCCTCTTCCTCCGTGATGCCCAGCTGGCGCGCGGCGTTGACCCGCACGAACTTCTGCAGCACGCGGTTGAGCGCCTCCAGCACCCGCTCGCGCTTCAGCTTCCCCTCCTCCGTCTCGAACAGGTTCTGCGCGCGCAGCAGGCTCATGAGCTCGGCCGTGGCCTCGCGGTCGCCTTCCGTCGGGCCGTCGGTGCTGACGGGGTCGGTGATCCCGTACCTCTCCTCCTGGCCGCCGAGCACGGCATCGGCCATTTGCGCGTGCCGACTGGGGAGCCAGTGGACTCGATTGCGATGCGGGCCGCTCCCACGGCCTTCACCCGGCGCGGCGGCGCAGGCGCTGACTGCGTTTGGCAACGGTTGCCCTCAAGGACAGTTCCGCGGGCGGTTAGCTACGTAAACGCATTGGCAGTGTATGTGTATGTGAGTGACCTAGGGCGATTCGTCCATGGCGGGCGCCGTCGTTGGCCGCATCCACATGGCCCATGTGTGACGTGAGTTTCGCAGGCAACTCCCACACACATCTGGAAGCCAACACGGACACATGACTGGGCATGGTGCGGCGGGGTCTACGTAGTTTTCTTGACCGGGATGAGGTGCGGGGCGCCTCGGGTTTCCCCGGCTAGATAGGAGATGACCCACCAAGTACCACATGGACGTTTGCAGCGTCTAATGTACTTTTCGATTTACACAATTACAATATTTACGGCCGCATCGGCCGTCTTCGCTGCGTTTGATTCACTGTGTGCGCTCCCTGCTGGGGACAGACGTGGTGTCTGTGTTGTGTAGGCCACCTGGATCCTCGGCACACATTCTACGCCAGTGGGAGCTTCGGCGCCGTTTCAGGATGCTCGTGTCGCTGCGGCGTGATGTGTGTGGCCCGGTCGCCTCTGTTACGAGACTCGGCCAATCAGAGCGTGAGTGTGCTGGAGCGGCCCTTGGATAGAAGCCCGGTGTTATGGACGTTTCCCGTTCGGCGTCGGTTCGACAAACTGGTGAGCAGCGTCTAGCAGGTGGATTCGTCGTCGGTCCGGCGGTTCCGGAGGGGTGTGTCGCCGTCGTTTTTCTCAAGCCGGCTCTCGGCCCAGCCCCGCCGCCATGTGGCACGTCGGCCGCAAGGAGAGTATCGCAGGCGGCGACGGCCGCGCGTCCGTGATGGACACGCTGCTACTCCGCCCCGCCAAGGAGGACATGGAGCTGGAAAACGTCAACAGTGCGCGCTCCTCCGTGGAGTCCGGCGCCGCCACCCCCTTCGCGGTGTCCGACGGAACGCCCAGCGGCCTCGACACGTCCCGCGTCACGCCCGTCCGGTCGCCCACGCTGTCGCGGGAACGGCGGACGCCGCTGACGCGGTCGCAGCAGCTGGCGATCCTGCTCGCGCGCAACCACTACTCGGCGCCGGCCTGCTCGCTGGACTTCGTCAACTTGACGCCCTGCCTGTCGGAGCTGTGCGAGTCGCGCCGCGACTCCCTGGGGTCCCTGGTCGAGAACAGTGAGGAGCGCGCGCCGCGGGAGGAGGCCGTTTCTCCGCAGGCTCCCCAGGGCGACGCGTCCCCGCCGAAACCTGACGACACGACCGCCGGCGGCAAGGAGACCGCGTCGCTTTCGAGGGCCGAGACGGGCAGCACCAACGTGGAGTCGGACTTCGTCGAGGACGACGGCCGCGAGGAGGCGCCGGCGGTGGAGCGCGGGGAGGCCGCCACCTGCGCGCTGATCGCCATGCACCGCGCCTCGGCGGCGCTGGGGCCGGCGCCGACTGCGGGCGTGCGGACCGCCGAGCTCTCCCTCGGGCGGCTGGTGCACCGCAACTGCGTCGACATGGCCACGAGCCCCTTGACGAGCGCGTTGGACGTGCCCACGCTCTCCACCGCGGCCGCCTCCGGCGTCGAGGCTGGGACGAGCCCCATGGCGTCGGCCAAGAAGTCGATCCCCGTCTACAGCCGGAGCCTGCTGTACCGCATCCGCGTCCCGCTGGCCCAGCGGCTGCGCAACTGCTCCAGCTACGGCGACGCCAACCAGAGCCCGCAGGGCAGTGCCCGGCGCGTGAACATGAGCTGTTACCGCCGCAGCGCCTCGCTGCGTCTGTCCTCGCAGCGCGCCTCCGCGGTTGAATTCAGCATGTCGGAGCTGAACACCGACAGTCCGCCCACGGCTGCGTCGTCGGACGGCGTCTCCGACGGCTCGGCCGGCCGCGGCCCCTCCCCGGGCTGCGACGCCACCTTCCGCAAGCGTGCGCGACAGGCGGCTCTGGAGGACGAGCGCCGGCGGCGGCTGGCGCGGAGCTCTCCCGGCCGCGGCTTGGTCGTGGCTGGCGAGCTGTGGCTCAGCGGGACCATGAAGAACATCGGCCCGAAGATCGAGGGCTCGGCTGGGTCGGGGCGCCGCGACAGTCACGCTTCGATGCTGAGGCGGCTGTTGAAGCGGCAGCGCTCGCTCTCTTCGTCGTTGAGTTCGTGCTAGCGTGTTGGGGACTGCTGTAATTTTCGGGTGCTTCAGTCGTGGCGGGGCGCCGCGGTTGCGGCTGTGTGGTGCGTGGCGCGGACTGCTACCGTGTTCCGTCCTTGTGTTACAAACAATGTAATGCAATATACCACTTATGCAGCAGTAACATCAACTGCACGTGTACGCGACGTAATGTGTTATCTTTAGACTCCAACTAGAGCACGTCACTCGGCGGTAAGCGCCAGCTTGCGCGTGTTGAAGTAGGGCCGAAGCGCCCACTCGATCTCCAGGTCCCGCATGTCGACGGTGCCCAGCTCGATCTTGAAGGGGCGCATGACGAAGCGCGGCCCGACCTCCGTCAGCTGCACCTCCTTCTCGTCCCCTGCGCGCGGGTGAGGCCCCCCGGGGTTGGCGTACCTTCGCGGTTGTTGGAGGCCCAGACGTGGTGCCGGAAGTGGATGAAGTCGCGCTTGTTGACGAACGAGAGCACGCGCGTTTCCTCCGAGTTGGCGGGCGGGAACATGTACCGCAGGATGTTCTTCACCCGCTCGCCCAGTTGCGATGAGAAGTTGTGGAAGACGAGGTGCGGGTACGCCTGGGAGGGGTTGAGCCGCAGCGCTTCCGTGGGCCTACCTCGGACATGGTGGGCGGCTTCTCGGGCAGGTCGTGCCTGAGGACCACCTCGGAGAGCTGGAAGTAGGCCGTCGGGCCGTGAGGCAGGTGGCAGACGATCATGGCGTTGGGCTCGCCCCGGTGCTCGTAGAGGAGCACGATGTCGGAGACGTCTTTGGACTTGCAGAACTCCACGAGGTCCTTGAGGATGTACGAGCCCCTGTTCATGCGCTCGGCGTTGGGTATGAGGAGGCGGACTTCCTTGGCGAACTGCGAGAGCCGCGAGGAGGGGTCGCGGGAGGTGGTGACCATGACCCTCGGGTTCTTGATTCCTGCAGGTTGTTTACCAGCTTAGCAGGTAGGTTTGCGACTACTGTGACGGCGCAACAGCAATTCCTCCACCCAACGCAACCCACCTACGAAGGCGTA